TGTGTGTGTGTGTGTTCCTTATGGATCCTTTCATTTCTCTTGTTCTTTCTTTGAGTAGATAGTGATACTGTATACATTAGAATTGCCAGTGGAATGAAAAGGACAGGTGTGTAGGATGACTGTCTTATGCTGGTGGTTGTGGGAGATACCAAGAACTTCAGGAGTCACTTGCTACTATATGTCTGTTACACGTCTAAAACAAAACTAACTTTTTGGTGATTTCTGATGAGCTCATTTTTGGGGGGAACTAAATGTTTATTGAAAAACAAGAATCAAAGTACAAAGTAACAGGCAGTTGAGTTTTATTAAATCATTGGGGCAGAATCTGGAACTTAGATGAAATAAAATCTTTATAGTAGTTATAGTACACCTTTATGAACCTTTGCCGTCTGGTTTTAGAGCTTTGCCAGAGTAGGAAATGGTTTACTGCTGAATACAGCAATAAGACCTTACTAAAACTTAGGTTCTAGCTGTTAAATACAAAATCATAGAAAGTCTCCATCTGATAAATTTACACTTTACACAAGCAGTGAGGCTTTAACCAGCTTTACAGCCAATAAATGTACTTTAAATATTACTTTCCTCTGTGAGGCTGCCTCTCCCTTACATACATAGAAACCTGTGCTGAACCCCCTAGATTCTCATGAAATTACTTCATTTTATTATTAGCGGATCCAGGTATACATTTTACATATGACCACGTCTTTGTGTTTGCCACTTAACTGGCCTTAAGTACGTGCTCAATAGTTATTATGTTATTATTAACAATTCATAGTTATAAGTCATTATTTCCTCCTGCTCCCAGTGCTCTTCAGTGCAGTCTAGAGGTTTACCTATTCCACTAGCACATGAAAGGTGCTACAGTACATAAAATAAAGAACCTCATTGTATTGCATTATATTACACTATATAAAATCCCATATAGACAGTAATTCATCACATCTATTTTAGTCATATTCCATCCAATTCCACCAGAACACCCCTTTTCTCTGTCTGTTCTTCATTCCTCCCTGAACAAAGAACATACAACTCAGGAAAATATGAAATCCTTGTTTGCTTGGGCTGAATGTTTCCACTGTGGGGGTACTGGCACAGCTGATTCTGGCTGAAATCATTTCCATTAGAATAATGTCTAAGAATAACAGCAGCCTCTGTTGTTTACAATGCAGATGAGGAGGAAGCCAGCATTCAACAATCATTTCTTTGTGGCGACGGTATTTGCTAACCACAGTTTACGTTTCCTCACTCAACACTAATTGACCTTAGACTTTTTAATTTTATAATGTCCAATTACAGTGTGTTCTTTGTATTAGTTTTTACTGCAGATTTTTTGTTAGTAGAGCAAATCGATAATTATTAGTTAAAATTCCCAATTAACAGTTAAACCACCGCAAACAAGTACGTCTAAATATTGAAGGGCATCAGAAATACTTTTAAAACTAAGGAAATCCACTCTACGTAAAAATAAGAATATGCTGTTTTTATCTTTTGATATGTCTTCTCTTAAAAAAAATTATATTGTTTATGTACATAGATTTAAAACTTCAGGTGCACGAGCCTGGAGAGTTGAATACATCCATCCACTTGGGGATTGCTGTCTCCTGATGTGACTGGGTGTCCACCAGTGACAGTGAATTGCTAGATGTATCACTAGTGTGGTGCTGGTACACATCAGAAATGCGTAGAATCCCTGAAGCATCTTCACTCTACTGTACTCAGTTTAGATGGCTTTTGTCACCTATATGCAAATCATTTTTCTGACTGAGAACAGAAGGGAAACCAGAAACCTGGTTCATGTCATCTTTTAAGCCAAACTGCTTAAACGAATGTTTACAATAACAGTGCCGCAAAATGTCAGATGTCATAAACACTGAATCTTACATGAAAAATGGGGAGTATTGCAATGCGATTTCAACATGACTCTTTTCAGCACTGAATTACCCATCACCTTGGCGCACTTTTTGGGGAACCCCTCTCTGTCTTTGCATAGGTTCTGTTTTGGTGTGGGAACCCCCAGGGTGTCACCTTGAGGAGACCTGTCACCAGGCACAGATACCAGTGCAGACTGCCTGCTATTTTCTGACTTTAACCAGTACTCCTTTAGACAGATCTGGTGGGAAAATCCTTTTCTTGGTTTGCTGCAGTCACTTCTAAGGGTAACAAGCTCCAATACATGATATTCCAGTGTTTAGTCCGGTATTACATTGAAACCTTGGAACCTAATAAGTGTTTGCAAAGAATAATAAAGATGTGAATTTTCATGTTCTTCCCGTGTTCACGTGGGAGAAATGTGGGTTTCCACCAGGGGCTCCCACAGTCCAAAACTATACTGCTGGGGGGACTGGTTTCTAGGAATATAAGCCCTGGTGTGAGTGTGTGTGCCCTGTGATGGACTGGTGTCCAGTCCAGTCACATGCTTTGTGCCTGTTGCTTGCAGGGATAGGCTCCGGCTCTCCTGCAACCTGTACTGGATAAAGTGTTAAGAATACAGATATCAAACTTGTTCTGATAGCACATGACTTCTGCAAAGGAATGTTTAGTTTCAGTTCCCTAAGTCTAATAAGGAATAGAGGATGGAGAGTAGGTTGAATAGAAAACTGTCTTGGTTGAGTGGCTCTTTGGGAACTGCACTAAACTCCACGAAGATGCATCAGTTTTTACTGAGCTATTTGTCTTTCCAACTCTGTGGTCCTTGAATTTATCCCATCACTACAGTTTTCCTGTTAGAAGGACATTGGAAATCAAGACAAACATGATTAATGCCAGCTTGCATTTCTGCCACTGTTTGGGTCCCTCAAGTAAATTAAAATACCTTGACTGTTTGGCTTAAACAAACATTGCCTTAAACAAATGTTGTGCTTAACTAAAACATTGCCTGAAGTATTGACTATCAACCTTTATCAGCTGTTTAATCTAAATTTTGGGAATAAGGCAGTAGCAACAAAAGGGAGTGCTGACAACTCCTTATCTGCCACAAGTGAAACCCCCCCCCTGGGGTGGTGAACTGAAGGCACAGTGCTCTTTCTGGCAGGATTGTGTACGAGTATTGGCGTACAGGATGGGTATTGGATGCCAGGAATAGATTGCCTGAGGCATACACACAGAACAAATGAATCAGGAAGGTCTAAAAAGGAAGATGAAGAGTAATAATCTGTTGAAAGGTGGCCTAATTTCTTCTGCAAAACCAAATTATATGTGACTGCAACAACATCAGTAAAAAAACAACTTTGTATCACTTGCCAAATTCTCAAAATGACTTTCCTAGACCCTGTTTATTACGAATCCCGCAGAATATAATAATAATAATAATAATAATAATAAATGCCAAAAATTAAAATGAAATCTTTTATTAAACCTGTAAAACCAGTAAAAGAAAAACTAAGTCATTTTATATCTATCTAAAGGGGGATCTGAGTTTTATCCAGCTGTCTTTTCTGTCCTCTTGGACATTCTCAGTCTCTCAGTCTGCAGAGAATGGAGGACTTTTGGGGAAGAAAGGATTGCAAGAGAGCTGGACCCAGGAGGGACTGGGAGCAGCAATGGCAGACCCCAGAATCGTAACCCCCTAACCCCCCCAACCATACCTGGAGTTGGACGCAAACAGGGTAGAGGGGGGAACACCAGGGACACATTGTTCAAGATGCCTGAAATATCCTTTTTTTTCCCCACTGTGGGATAAGGAGATTACCGACTGAAGCTGGTTCTAGAGAATTCTGCTGCTGGACCTTTCCTCTGTGACATTTGGGTTTGGACACTGGGCACTTGGGCACTTGTGCTGGCCTGGAATGTGAGTGCTCTGGAGCTGGTTTTGTACATTGTGTCCGGTGTTGGGCAGACTGTGTTAACTGTTGCAATCACTACAAAATAAAAATGGCACTTAAACAATGCTAGCGTCTGTGGCTGGTCTGTGCTTGCATTGGTAATTCGGGGAGATAAGAGAACTTGTGGCAAAGGAAGAAGGGTCCTAGCACCCTTTTATAATAGGTGGGGTAGTCTTCTACAAAGCTAAAGTAGTTTCCGAATTTAGGAGAAAACTTGTCCGTGACAGAATCCCAAACATTTGTGCTTTGGGGGAATGCCGTATCAAAGCAGGGGGGAAACACCGGTTGTTCTTGTTTTTGCGGTAAAACGATTACGCGACGGGCAACGAATCTGTTGAATGCTGTAGAACAGAATATTCTGGGATTTTCCCGCTGATGTAAAAATAAATGTTTTCACAACTGAGCTATAAAAATGATCAACTGGTTCTGTCACTACAGGGATTTCCAGTCCGCGATTGTGTTTGTTGGCCCAGACAAACTGAGCGGTGCCTGGCCCTTTAAGCGCCTCCTGTTGTCTTGTGTTGCAGGAAGTGTGAGGGGTGTTCCCGTCACAATCCAGCTGATCTTGTAACAAGCCAGACGGAAGTGAGACGTGTGGATGCGCGTTTCGTCTAGCCTTTAAAATGGGACTGTCATCCCGTTTCAGCAGAATGACAGCAGGACGTTTAGTTTAGGATTACAAAAGGAAGGGACGTCTAGAGAAAATAAAAGCACTCTAATAAGGGATTATCCTTTAGCCGTCGGATCTCCAGTCCCCTTCCCATTACCCCCCTTCCACCTCCCCTTGCTGCCTCCGTCTCCACCAGCTTGGTGATTTCTCTAAAGGAGGACTGACATGAGCGCAGTCTGGGGATGGCATCCTTTAAGAGTTATTGCAAGACAGAGCCCGAGGAAGAGAATGGGGAGCTGGACCAGTCTCTGCAGCAGATGCTGAAAGCTATCGCCGACGAAAGATACAGGCTTAACATCAGACAAGAGATCAGCGGACTCGGTGAGTTTGACTTTTTTTTATTTTTAAAAGGAATCGACAGGGAACTGTCTTTTATGTTTGCTGCAATATTTTGTCTTCGGCATTGGACACTGGAATGCAATGTCTCGTGATATATGCTAGAGCTTTAACTGTTACGATCATTAATTATTAGCAATACTGAAAACACCCTTAGCTAATCTATTGTTCTAAGGAATCGATCGGTTTAGTTTTTAAGAGCTCGTTCCCACACAGGTACAGTACGAAACAAAAATAACTATCTGGGGAATTACCAGCTTGTACAGAAAATTGATCCTCAGACAGTTTACATGTAGTTTTTTTTTTAAATAACTGAATCATTTTACGATTTTTACGCCAATGCAGCTCGACTGAAATACTGACTGAGGGTAAAAGAGGGTGTATATTGTCCAGGCTTTTCACACTCGTATCCCAGTCCCTGCAAGAAAAACGTGAGCAGATGTTCTCATCATATAAGCTGGTGGCGGGGTGTAAAATACGTCTGTAGACTGTCCGTAGGACACCCAGACGTATCTACCACCTTGCTCTGAAGCTTTCAAGAGGTTACTGTTGCTGAAAAGGAGGGAGCTTCGATTTGGTCACTGAGTCGGATAAAGAACAATTTTACCGTCACGTTAATGTTATTTAGCATAGATAATTTATATGTCAGATGATTTATCTGTGCTCCGCCAGACAGAATATAATGTAATTCATGTCGTTTTACACTTTATGTGCTCTGTGAAGCTTGCATTGTAGTTTTATTTTCAAGAAATAAAACGGCAAATGAAAATGCGTGCATGCTATACGTCCCTGTGGATATCGTATTCCTAACGATTCTTTTTAAATTCTCGGTCATGGTCATTGTCTTGACAAAATGCATGACTGCTCCTTGACTTCCACGTTAGGATATGCTGCCCTTGAGCTCCCTTCAGAAGCTCTATTGGCTCAAAGCTGGAGTATTCATTCTCAGTCTGTGTATAGACAGTAAATTGCCTTGTACAGTGAGTGTAGTGAGGCTTATTCACAAACTGAAACGGAAACTTATTGAGAAAAGAGGGTTCTCGGATGTGGAGCAAAGGAGATTCTCAGATGTGGAGATATCGTTTTCTGTAAATTTGTAAGCAGAAAATTCATTGTTTGTTTGTTTTTTAATGTGAGTTAATGATGTCTTTCTGAAGGAATGTCCCGTGTCTGTTACTGATGTATTGAGCTCCTAAATGGCACTAGCTAGTTTAATGCACAATCTGCAAAGTTGTACTCTATCTAGGTACCTTCCCAAAACCTTAGAACACAAGAACAGTTACAGTGTAGCCTCTTTGCTAGTTAGTAGCAGATAATTGAGCCAAGGGTCTCATCAAGTCATTTCTTGAAAGAGGCCACTTGGATCAGGTCCCCTCTTAGTCCTTTTTGCTTAAGACTAAAAAGTACAGGACCTGGAAACAGTTAAATGAGAATTAGTTCTCAAGTGAGTTATGTGGTTAAATATTTTTTTTAAAAAAAAGGTATTGATATTTCAATGTGTAAAAAGCTTGGTATTTAAAACTGATTTCCTTTTTGAACAGATGGAAAGGAATAGCAATTTCATTTTTCGGTGCTGCAAGTAATAAGTGCTGCAGAAATCTCTTGCATGTATGTATTAAAAACTAGACTTTCTCCTTGTTTTATTTTGTGCCATAGAATTCTTCAAGTGAACCAACCAGTTTGGTGCATTAAGAAATGTAATCCCTGTAAAGCCTTTTGAGTTCTCTTCCTCTCTTATTGTTTTATTTTAAGATTTCTCTTTAATTTCAGTTTTTGGCGTGATGGAAAAACAGAAGTCATCTTGCCTTAGGAAGTGATTAATAACAATTCTTGGATTCCATAATGAAAGACACACATCATGTGAACTATAGGTCACAACTGACATCTCTCCTTCATCTTTTAGCTACACATTTTCTTACAATTTTTATGTCTTTAGCTTTTTAGAAGACTGTACACAAGGAATTCCTATCCATCGATAGAAGTGAACTGTTTTCTTAGTTGGGTTACCTTGCAGTGGCACTGAACAATAAATGTACGTTATGCAAAGTTAATGAAATGGTTGTCAGATGTTGCTTCATTCAAGACTAACGTGGGTATGAGATGCAAAGGTCTTCAGACTTCTTTCCTGGGTACTTCATTCTTTCTTAAATAAGTGAAAGAATTACGTCAGGATATAGTCCTGGACTTTAAATAGCTTGGATGATATTTATGTGCTGGAAGGTGTAACAATTGACATTCTTGAAACTGCTGTCCAAGAGAAGATCAATATCCATGTTGATCTAAAAAAGAGACAGAAATGTGAAAAATGCACAACCATTGAAATTAAGTATGTGTAAATCCTGGTGCACACTGGGAATAAAATTAAGGTTTTAAGTGTTAAATCTGTTGTGTGGAACTAGAATTTACCCAGTAGAATAAAGCTGTGATGTAGACTTACTTGATATGGAATCCAGTTTCCAATCCTTACAGCCACTTCAGAAGAGCAACACAGATAACAGATAAGAAATTTCACAGAGGGGCTCAGTTATTAGCTCTGTTGTCAAACTGGAATCTCTTTAGTCTCAGCCGATTACAGCTGACACTCACAAAGCTTAATGAGTACCACATCTTTTGCCATAGTGTGCTCCTTAATTCAATTTCCACAATTTTTCTCTTTTCTTGTTGGTTCTTGTCATTTTTTGTGTGCATTTTCAGCGTTCCTTATTTTCCTTCATTACTATATAGGGAAAAATTAGATATTTATACAGCTGGTAGTTCATCCTCCCAGGTGGAGTTGAGTTAGACTTTGTGCTCTTTTTCCGAACCGGGATTGGAAGGGAAGGAGCAGTACAGCAGGATATGAGCAAGGCAGAGTGGTGGCTCTGTGGCTAAGGATATGCGCCTGTGACTGGAAGGTTGCCAGTTCAAATCCCTCAGCCGGCAGAGGAATCCTACTCCATTGGACCCCTGAGCAAGGCCCTTAACCCCAGCTGCTATAGGGATGCCGTATGAACGGCTGACCCTGCACTCTGACCCCAGGCTTCTCTCCCTGTCTGTGTGCCTGTGTGTCTCATGGAGAGCAAGCTGGGGTATGGGAAAAGACAAATTCCTGATGCAAGAAATTGTATATGGCTGATAAAGTGATCTTCTCTTATCTTACATTAATAGCGTATTATAATAATATTGCCATCTCTGTTATTTTCAGGAATCTTGCACTAACAAAATGTTTGCAAACATTTTTTCCTGATGTTTTTATCGTCTTACATTTGACAGCTTGCTTACTCACTCTAGATCCCCATTGTGTAGAAGTAACAATGTAATCTGAGGATTCGACAGCATAAGAGAATTTTTTGTCACTTAACCACAGAGGATTTCGTGTAAATTAATTTCATGAATCCCAGCGAATACAGTGAGGCTAATGCATGAAGCATTGGACGTGGAACCAAAGCTTGAGAGGGAAAGAAAGAGCCCCAGGAATTTAGAGTTTGGAAAGGAGCACTGAAATGGAGTTCAGCTCCACTTTGAGTGGAAGACATCTCTGTCAGCGTCTCAGGCCTGGGATCTTTCCTCCTCGATGGCAGAAGGGGCAAGGATTTGTGGTTTTTGTCTGTGCCTCGGTCAGTTCAGTCCTGCTGAGTCCCCCCTCACATGGAGTCCTTCAGCTTGTGTGATGTAACCTCCATCTGTTTTCACTGCACATTTAAAGAGACACGCAGTCCCCTTTTCCTTAGCAAAGGTCATGGGATAAATTGGATTCCTTTTTTCAGGCTTGTTTAATGTAACATGTCTTACATAAGGTTTTTTTGCCATTTTGCTATGCATGTAAATTTGGAAGAATACTTGCCTTGTGCTCCCTACATGTGTGAGACTGGTCTTTTTGGGCTGCTACTGTTAAATGTCTAGCTGTTTTCTGACAAACAGAACTTAAACAATGGAAGTAGTAGAAGGCTTTGTGTGGTAGATAGCTATGAATTGTGAATTGAATAAAAAGTATTTTAAATCATAGAGCATGGATCTCTTGGTCATCTAGAGTCCAGTCTCTAGAAGGACAAAAAAGTCTGTGAAACACTATTGCTGACATAATGAAGTGGTGCTGTTGACTTACAAAGAATATGTCTTTAATGTAAACTGTAGACTATAAACTGCTTTAGACTTAGACTTTGGCTGCAATTAGAAAAAATCCAGATGTATGTAATAAAAGGAAGGAAGGATGGAAGAAACTGAATGCCAAATTATGACTGGAGTAAAATAAGTTAGCTATATACTTCTGTATTTCAATTGAATATTTGAACCCCTGACCGCACACGGGAAAGAATGACAAACTGTGGGCAGACTCTTTCAACCTGCCCCAACTTCGAGCTACTCGTCTAACAATATGTCAACAGGCCACACCCTGCACATGGCGATTTTGGTGTAGATCTGAGGAATGGTGTGTGCTTCATTGACATTACCGTATCTCTGTGAGCACCCTGGAGGTCGCAAAGGTCAACTTTTGAACAAGGCACCATGAAGCTCAGCCTCCACTCAGGCGAACACCTTTGGCCACTCGGGAGGCCTCAAATAAATGAGAACTGGTCAAATTCATCCCTTAAAAAAACTACCCCCAGCACATTTTTAAGAGAAAATTGTGAAACTGCTGTTAATATAACCCTGGCATCATAGGCCATGTCTGCTGTGTCACAAGATAGCTCATGCTTCAGTCAGGAGCTAGTTCTGTGACTACATTGTTCATATTTTCCTCTGTTGCAGAAAGAAAGACTGTCAAGGTTAGTGTGGGAATTCTTCCATAATTTGTGTTTTTTCGTGGCAAAGTGGGCGATGTAGCAAACTGAGTCATGTACGTTCCCAGAATCGTAGCTGCACCTCACTGGGTATATGGATTTCAAAAAGAAGATGTAAGACTCTAAAATCAAAACACAGGGGTGTTTTGAGTGTACAATGAGTATGCAGCACGTCTAAAAATAAAACACATTGGGTTACATGCAGTTAGACCAAGATACAAGGTT